GCGAACGGAAATAGGACGCGCGGCGTAAGCCCGTTTCGCTTTTTCGCCTCCGCAAAACGATCCATCTGCCCGAGTTACCTGCCTTCGACCTTCTGACCTCGGCAAGTTAATGAAAGCCTTATCTTAAGTTAGTTCATTATCATTGATTCTAATAGTCAGTATCATTGATTCTAATAGTAATTCTATATCAATTTTCAAGATCAATAATAATGTATTAAAATTGAAAGTAACATGATATAATTACAAATATACCCTAATTATGTATAAAGTTGTGTATTATTTAAGATAAATAGATAAAATTATCGTGATATTACTTTTCGAAAACTTGAAATATAATAATATAATTGACATTTCTGTTATTTTACCAGAGTAATTTTTCTAATAGTCAGAGAAAATTGCGACGATTGCGTGGAGTGATTACGACGCATGTTAAAAACTGCAGAAGTAGATGGAAAAAATTTCATTTATGTGGGAAATTATACTTTTAAGAGATTGTTGGTCGCAAAGTATACCTATAATTGTTTTAAAGTACGTGGAACGGTCGGGTTTAAAACAAAGCAATCACAAGCGGCTTGAGGCAAGGTGGCCATAAACGCGCAAGGGTAACATAACTTTCCTTCTTTCGTTGTCTTGCACCGAAATACGTTCGATCGACCCACTAACCTTCTCAGGTTTCTCTCCTGAGAACTATTTCTTTGTGCTTATAATGGAAGGAGATTTCAGGATAAGGTGCGAGTCTTTTTATTATTGAAGCGAAACGAGGTCAACTGTCCCACGATATAAACGAAATCGATAACATTAATTGTACGAATATAAAAAAAAAACACCATTAAAGTCCATATAGTGTATCGTAATATGATGCGAATTTTAACACCGAAATGTACAGAAATTAAAAAGCACTCGTGGAATTTAATATACATATATGTATAATCATAACGACGTGAAATCCCGTAAAATTCCTACATCGGCTGTTAACATTTTTTACAGCTGTCACTTTACAATCGCATTATTCGGTATTACGAATGAAGTACTTTTGGGGTTTCGACAATAAGCGTCACAACACCGCGCAATTTTTATCTTCGATTATATGTAATAATCGCCATATGTGAACAAAATCGCAACAGTTATTAAAAGCGTATTTCGATATGGTCAGCAATATTTTCGCGAAAAATACGAAAATCATTTTCCACGATAAACAAGCAAATAAAGGAAATTTTTAACAGTGCCATTTTTAACTCAATTTATACAGAAAATATGCAACCTAAGATATATTTTTATCTATTATTTTAAAATTATTTTAGTGACTAATGACGACTAAAAACTGTATCATTTTATGTATATATTGGGTTGACTAAAATTTAAATTTTAGTATACGTTTATTAAATTAAAATTTTCTACATTTCAATTTTCCTTCAACATCGGCACGAACTTTCCGGACAACTCAATAAAAGGAAATATATAGAAGTATATAATATAAAAGGAAATAGAGTATAATATCAATAGAGATTACAGTATAAATATATTATTCATACATTCCTCAATTATTCATAGAAATTATCAGAAATGTCACTTAGATATGGTGATGTCTATAATCGTGCCGACAAATTATAGACTCTGGCAAAGCGTTCAGGAGGAGATTCTACTTGCCGCTAGCGTAGACATCAATTTTATGTGTCGGTGAGACGATATCGTAGAAGCGTCTCTTACCCCGTGGCGGTCCTTATATATAGGTGTATTAATTATTCCTATCGCGTAGACCCCGGTCTGGCTTGTATTCCAGCACGTTGCAGTTGCAGTTGTAATGCATCCGCGGTTGGTCGTTTCGAGACGGCCGATATAGCGGAAACTCCATTCCACCGTTGCGGCCCACCGTTGAAGAGGCACGTTCCATTTGCGTGCCGTTTACAACTTCGTGGGCCGTTTACAGCTGCTACTTTCTATATCTTCTATGAACGTATTAATCTCAACAATTTTACTAATATTAAGTATTGCTCATTTTTTTGATAGTGCATGTAAGAATTGGATTCAGATAAATTTAAATTAATTTTAGAAGTTCTATTTTATTTTCTGATTTATATTCTATTTTTATTACGTTTGTATAATACTTCTATTAATCTGTAGTCTCTGCCCTATTCTTCGATAAAAAAAGAACGCAAGCTGTGCATATATAAAAATGAATAAAGAAAGAATAAATAATTATAAAATCGAAATACGAATATATATATGAAATATTCTATTATATTCTGTAACTCTAAACTCTATTAGCTCGGATATTCTGAGTTTTGACCTTTGCTCTACTATGCAACTATGGACATCAGATACTGTACTTTATACGATTAACGCGAAATAACAGATTCCTGGTTAGAAATTCTAATCGCGGCACCGCCAGTAACACAAATCAAAGCAAAGGCCAATGGTCGCTGATGTCCAGCTCGAGCCACGGTCCGTTTCTGTGTATAGAGCATATTAGCGTTTGTGTCATATCTACTCCGCTTGTGCATGGTGTTTAGAACCGCACTCGGTTTTCGG